AACGCTACGAGGTGGACCAGGACGAGACCGAGGTAGAGCACGACCCCCGGTTCGCTCGAGCGGCGATTTGCGAAGTCCGTTGACGTCGTCGCGTGCCGCGCGGCGGGCCGGGCCAGCAAGAGCTCGCATGCCGACGAAAAACACAAAGACAGCAGGAAGCGCGCCGACAGGGCGGGTGTGGGGGTAGAGGAAGAAAATGGGCTGAGTGCCAAGAAGTCGCGGCGAAGCGGCGGGGCAAGGGCGTCGGCGACGCTGACAACCGAGGAGGAGGTTGTGGTGGTGGCGGAGGCCTCGGCATCATTGCCTTCAATGCGGGAGGACCCCACCCCGGAGATCACACTGCCACCGCAGCCACCGCCGCCGCCGCCGCAGCTGAAACCTGAGGCAGAGGCGTCGGCCCACGCCTCAGCCGTGCGTGTTTCTAAGGTGCCAAAGAGGAATGGCGCCGCAAATGACGCGCTGCTGCGCAGTCCGTCGGCCAGCGAGAGGGACGGTGTGCGGCAGATGTGGTGGGAACGCATAGCAAACAGCTCAGTGGCGCGTTTCTTCCTTCACATTGAGCCCCGCACCAAAAGCACCGTGCAACGCCCCGTCTCCACTGTCCACCAGCCGCTCCGTGTGCTCGACCCCAAGGACGTTCAGGAGTTTGTTGTTTTCCCGAACACCAGTTGCCGGACCTCCTGTGGGTTCGTTGGATTCACGCCCTGCAGCAGCATCCTCCGCGTACGCATCGTTCCAACAACGCCGAAGGCGGGGCTGTGGTTTTCCGTAATGTGCGAAGCGGAGTGCTGCACGCGACTTGACATCTGGCATTGCCCGGTGATAGCGGGTCCTGACGCTGACACGGCTTCCTCCGGCCTCTGCCTCAGCGACGGCGCACTGCCGGCGCCCATGTACAGCGTGCATGTAGGGCGGCATGTGGCGGCGTCTATGGACTGGCTGCCCCTGCCGCTGGATCGGCCGGATAACAACACGCTCGGCCTCTGCACCTTTATCAGGGGCAGGTACCTGGTCTCGACGGTGCTTCCACGCAGCGTGGTGGCTGAGGCCGTCGCCGCGGCGGGAGCGCGCAGTGCCAGTGGCAGGCATAATCTCCACTGCCCCAATGTGGCCGCCGAGGTGTGCGGGGCGACGCTGCTGAAGCGTGAGATAGAC